TGATAAATGGGTTGACCTCTAACCTGATGGGGGGACCTCCGATGTGATGGGGGACCTTGGACACACCTCTGATGTGTAGGTTGACCTCTAATGTGATGGGGGATACCTCCGATGTGATGGAGGGACCTCAAACATGATGAGGGGGGCCTCTGATGCATGGCTTGACCTCTAACATGATGAGGGGGCCTCTGATGTGATGGGGGGACCTTGAAAATGATGGGGGGACCTCTAATGTATGGGATGACCTCTAACCTGATGGGGGACCTTCGATGTGATGGGGGGACCTCAGACACAACTCTGATGTATGGGTTGACTTTTAACATGACAGGGGGGGCCTTCGATGTGATGGAGGGACCTCTGATGTATGGGTTGACCTCTAACGTGGCGAGAGGGACCTCCGATGTGATGTGAGGACCTTGAACATGATCGGGGGACCTCTGATATATGTGATGGCCTCTAACATGATGGGAGGACTTCCGATGTGATGGAGGGACCTTGGACATGATGGGGGGACCTCTGATGTATGGGTTGACCTCTAATGTGACAAAGGGGACCTCCAATGTTATAGAGGGACCGCGAACATGATGGGAGGACCTCTGATGTGATGGGGACCTCAGACATAATGGGGGGACCTCTGATGTAAAGGAGAGTTTCTGATGTGAAGTTTATTTGATCAAGCCAGTTGTGTGCATGGTCCCAGGACCAGGTTTCCCATTGATAATTAACATTTACGTTTTTTGCAGGAATGAGCACAGGAGGCACAGCATACAGCAGTCTTGTAGGTCTGTGAGTGAAGGTAGTGTTAAATGTATTTGCAGATTTGGATACCCTAATAAATTGAAGCCAAACTCCAGCTAATACATTATAATCAGTTACAGCAAACAGTTTTTCTCTTTTTGGGATTAGGTAGCATATTGGGTGTGCCATTTAACTTCCCATCGCAGTACCCAGGTTTTACATGAATAATAAAAGCCACTCATCATCACTTGCCCCGGCCAGTGTTAAATGGTTTGTCTCATCCCTTTAAAGTGATATATTCTGCTGGGGAGCTCGAGCTTGTGAAAAACAACAGACTTGCTGGCTGGATCACCAGAGGAAAATAGAAGAAAGAAAGCATAAAAAACAAAACTAATGCAGCCATCACATCTAAGACTTGGTAAGCTGCAATACGATAAATGTTTGCATTTGGGTTTCATGCTGCTTTAAATGAGGGGGTGTGAATTTTTAATTGCTCATTATCAACAGATTCAACTTCTTATGGTAAGCTGCCCCTGCGGAAGTCAGTGCATTGCAAATGAGGCAGCATAGAGTTAAATCTGGCGGTAACATGAAAATCTCACATGTAGCCCAGCCCGAGCCATCCTCAAATAAAACACTTTTCAGCACTTATTAGAAACATGTTCCCCCCATCAGGGCTACAAATATGTAATCCCCCATCGCCATGTGACGGAAGCGTTGTGCGTGTGGGAGAGGAGTGGCAAACGGGGGGGGGCTCATATGCCACTTAAGGTTGGGATAATAAAAATAAGCTGCAGACTAATATTTTGGCTTGCAGACGTTTCTCTCTGAAAACAATTAGGACTCAAAGACAGACCTACAGAGGAGAGAGCCGGGGAGACAAATCAAGCTCTTCATTTCTGTCGACTTAAAGCTAAACTCTGGGCCATCCACTAAATGCACAATCGATAAACATGTATGTGGACAGATCTACTTGCCAAAAGATGTGTAATTGTATTTAGCCAGAGCCATCTGCCAGGCAGCATAGCCAAGTCCCTGACCTCTAGTGCAGGTAAATCGTACAGCAAGGTCACGTTCACGCCCCCCCAGCTTACTGATTGGACAGTGGAGGAGAAGCTGACCTGTAAGGTCATCCTTGTCTTCCTCTGTTGGCACACCCACAGTGTTAGGCCAGGATTGGACAGTGAAGGAGGAGAAGCTCACCTGTAAGGTCATCCTTGTCTTCCTCTGTTGGCACACCCACAGTGTTAGCCCAGGATTGGACAGTGAAGGAGGAGAAGCTCACCTGTAAGGTCATCCTTGTCTTCCTCTGGTGGCACACCCACAGTGTTAGACCGGCCATACATGGGTCGAAATTCGATGGATTGGACAGTTACAGATTCTTTGCCAGGCGATACGTCTTCCATATACTGGATGTATTCAGCTTTGTATTTAGGTGATTAGTTGGAACTTCACTTCAATGTTAGCGTTGTGTCAGCCGGCCTTCTAGGTGAGTGTAGTCGTGTTTATCTAATGCTGGCCATACATGGGTCAAAATTCGATCAATTTTTCATCCAGACCTACCAATAATTGGCCGATTTTCGCTGTTAGTGGGTCAATGGCACCGGCCGATTTTCGTGGTACCTCCCCTTTTCGGTGATTGGGCATGTTGGAAAATTCATGAAAAACTACCGATTTTCGACTCAATGATGGTCAAATTGTACGATCGTATTTCCGAAAAGAATATGCGCATGAGCTGTGACCGGGAAGGAACAGAAGTTTTGCCTGTCATATGGGGTGAACTTTATGACTTGGTCGGCCGATTTTCGAAATCATTGATGGCGCCATCGGATTACCGAGTGAACGACGTTTTCCATTTTCCGACTAAAAATCGTTTGGAATTCGAACCATGCATGGCCTGCATAAGGCTTCATGTTAGGCTCCATGTAGACATTTTTGCCACCCCATCAGCCCCCTCCTCCCCTTAAGCTGCAATAGGATGCGGATGGAGATGTTTTCATGCTTCACACCTGCGGCAACATTCACCCAACATGCAGCAATCAGCGGGTGGCAAGCCTGGCACACGCTACATGATCAAGACAATGGGGAAGCGCAAGCAACCGTTTGCAATGCATGTGGTTGAGGTGCGTTTGTTAGAAAAAATGGGGTTAAAACAGGAGGTGAGGGGGCATTCCACCTCTTCCCCACCACCTGTCAGTAGCCTCTGGAGCGTGACCCAAACGCAAATCGGGCTTCAGAGGCATTGCCTAAATCTACCCTTACCCCGGGTTCACACCTAAGTGTTTCCGCAGCGTTTTGCAGAAACGCACTACAGTCCATTTAACATGATTTCCTATGGGAGACATCTCCGCGTTTTCACCCTGTGCATTTTTTGGAAAGGGTCAGGGACTTTTTTGAACGCAAAAAGTTGTGTTTTTGGTTCTATAGACTTTGATGGAAAAGCTGCAGAAAAAACGTAGTGCATTTTTGATGCGTTTTGCATTTTAAATTTCCCTGGCAACAAGAAAAGAAATGCAAAACGCATCAACAAGTGTCACAAACGCAGGTGCAAAACGCAATGCAGAAACGGGTCAAACGCAAACTGCATAGGTGTGAACCTAGCCTAAGGGCTTGTTCAGACACGTACCCGGGGGGGGCGATAAAAACAAGCAGTTGAACCAAGGTATTACTGCCGCTTCCCCCATCGCCTACCAAAACAAGGGTATGCAACCGCTCAGAGCTGTCCCCTGAAATATTTCTACTGTGACTTCACCTGGGATTGGTGCACCATGTCCAGATCATCAGGTGGGTCACAGGGGTGGACTGACAACTCCTGGGGCCCCCGGGCAATAGGGGATCATGGGACCCCTGTGTCCTTGCCCAAAAAGCCTATGAAAAAGGTACCAGGGGCATCTCATGGGGCCCCCTACTGACCCCGGGCCCTCGGGCAGTGCCCGAGTTTCCAAATGGTCAGTCCGCCACTGTTGGGTCATTGTGACTGACGAGGATTATATTGCTCGGCAGCGTGATCCGCTCAGGACCATACACATGAAATGGTGCTCTGCTTTGCTGCTGCGGATTTGGTGGGCAGTACCGCTGCCGAACACAACTCATTCAGGTTTAAAGGGCAATGCCTTGCAATGCATGCAGGTGTGGCACAATGGATCAGCATTTCTAGGGTTAAAATAAATGGAAAGGATGTGGCATACACCTGTCAAAACATCTCTCAAAAGCAATCCACTGTGAATCACTTTTGAAAGGCTACCGCGCACGATAGGAAGCCCTAAGTCCGTGCAGTGCGGCGGGACCCCAATTGGCTCTCAGTGCTAACACTCCCTAAGGCTCCTCCCCAGGGGCGGACTGACAACTCATGGGGCCCCCGGGCAATAGGGGATCATGGGGCCCCTGTGTCCTTGCCCAAACTCACAAAAGCCTATGAAAAAGGTACCAGGGGCATCTCATGGGGCCCCCTACTGACCCCGGGCCCTCGGGCAGTGCTGAGTTTCCAAATGGTCAGTCCGCCCCTGCTCCTCCCACACTTGTGCGACATGCGACTTTGGGCACATAAATGCAAATATTTATATGTGTCAATTCAATACATTGTGTAATTTTATGCATATTTTTGTCTGTGTCTATAAGAAACAAGACTGAACCTTTGAGGTCAAAGTCCCCCATCTCCAATACCCTATTTTTATTCATTTGAACACAAGAAGTCACTTGACAAGTCACAGTCCATGTATTTCAAAGGAAGCCATTCAAATCTACGAGACTCAAAGTTGCAGTGACATTCAAAAGGTTTCTGCACTGCTTTGATGCGACTTTCATGCTCGCAAAAGTCGCATGAAAGTCGAATCTGAAAGTGTTACTAAATCCACAACAGTAAAATCAGTCTGTATATGCAGTAAAGCATGCTTGTTATACTCACTGTGGAACCTAAGGGGTTAATCCTCCACATTGTGTAAAAAGGATGTTTGATCCTGTCTTCTCCGATCCTCCCCTTCTTCTACCTTCCCCAATCCATCTGCTGATAGAACAGAGCCTTGGGGGCAAGCTGCACATGCTCAGTTTAGTGTGTATTGCTTGAGAGGTTTTTTTTTGGGGGGGGGGGGAGGGTGCATGTGATGTCAGAAGTCCTGCAGCCTCATAGGACGGTCAGGGGAGAATGAAAACTCCTCCTACAAGCTTTAACCAGTGCTTAGCCGAACACTAATAGAAGTCACAAGACTGCTGATGAGAAAAGATATTTAGCAGTTTATATTTACTAAAATGATTGCATTTCCATGTTCTGTGTACTGTGGGAGACCAGATATAGTGAATGCAGGGTCCGGGGAGACCAGATATAGTGAATGCAGGGTCCGGGGAGACCGGATATAGTGAATGCAGGGTCCTGGGAGACCAGATATAGTGAATGCAGGGTCCGGGGGAGACCGGATATAGTGAATGCAGGGTCCTGGGAGACCAGATATCGTGAATGCAGGGTCCGGGGAGACCGGATATATGAATGCAGGGTGACCAGAATGCAGGGTCCGTGGGATTCCATATATAGTGAATGCAGGGTCCGGGGAGACCAGATATAGTGAATGCAGGGTCCGGGGGGTGACCAGACCAGATATATATAGTGACCAGAAGTGAATGCCGGGTCCGGGGAGACCAGATATAGTGAATGCAGGGTCCGGGGAGACCATATATAGTGAATGCAGGGTCCGGGGAGACCATATATAGTGAATGCAGGGTCCGGGTGAGACCAGATATAGGGAATGCAGGATCCGGGGGGAATAGGATCCGGGGATACCATATATAGTGAATGCAGGGTCCGGGGTTTAGTAACACTTTGATGTTATCAATGCGGCAGCTGTGCAACAGTCAAAAGTTACCAGCCAAAGTTGCGTCTAAGTCGCACCCTTCCAAAGTTGCATTGGAGTCGCACTGAATTGAGCCTTACTGTATGGCAGATTACAGGAAGATAACAATTTGGGTATTTATATTAGCTATATTCAAAACTGGGGCTGCAATGTTGTCCAGAAACAGTATCTCTGCGTTTTTCGTCATATCATCATATTAATGACCAAAATGACGGCCCCTGTCATTAAGAACCCCATCTTTTTTGACGGACCCTACATTAACAGGCTCAAACACTTTACTTGCCTCCATTTTTATACAGAGCAAAGCAACACACGTGTGAACACACATACATCGGGAGGCCTGTGCGTCTGTTTGTGGGTATGTCGTTAAAATGACAGCAACACCCATACGTAACTTAACATAACCATGAACTATGAGTAAGGTCTTGTTTGACTGAAACGCGTTAGTGTTGCTTGTCTCCCGGAACTTTTTTATACTCTGAATCTACAATAAAGTTTCTACAGTTTCATTCTCACCTTGTTGCTGACCCTTCGTGATTGATATATACAAGTTGAGCGGATGGAGACCGCGGGAATGGCACGGTGAGATCTGTACTCCTTCTGGAATGTGTTATAGGGGTTGCAGCACTTTTCTTTTGTATGTGTGAACCCGTACATGACGCAATGTGTACCGGGCGTCATTGGACAGTATAGTACACTTTAACAGCGGCACGGCGCATATGCAAAAATGTGAAGGGGGACTCAAATTTTAATTTGGATGTTTTTTAGGTGTTTTTTGACCGTGAATGTGCTTTGCATGAAGAGGTAACTCCACTGTCATGGGGCAAAAATATAGCACATTAAAAAATATAATAATATATACACATTGCTATGCAAGGATTATTATAATGGAAGGTTTTAAAAAACCTTAAAAAATCTTCACCGCTGTAATTTTCTGTAAAATGCAATATGGCTGCCTGGAGGCGTTCTATACACAGATGGTGTACACAACACCTCCCAGAAATGTCATTTCCTGCTTGAGTGATTGGCTTACTGATTTCCCCAGAAGTCTGCAAGTCAGCTTTTGGGCGTTCTCTGCAACAAAATGGCATTTTTTGTGAGATGCTCCCACAGAGAAATCATTTCTAAAGGGATGCAGACCCTGCCACTTTCCTCATTAGAGCCCCGCAGGTGCAGCAACTGATGGATAATTATAAAGTCACTTCCATTAGATTCACTTTGCGCATGGATGCAAACAAAAAGCTATTTCTCTAGAATAACAGAAGGTATGTACATTATACATTGATCACCTAGGGAGGAATGTTTTTTTTTCTCAGCAAAAGGGGAGTTACTTTTTAAGGCAATCTATTATTTTGAATAGGCTAGCAATTCATACCAGTGTCCAAAATCTGACTTAGGTGCACCGTGTGTGAAAACAGCCACTTGTAGACTCCTTTGGAAGATCATGTGACAGGGTGACAACATAGTTACATAGTTAGTCTGGCTGAAAAAAAGACAAAAGTCCATCCAGTTTAACCATAAAAAGAAAAAAAAAATGTTATAATCCTACACCCACAGTTGATCCAGAGGAAGGCAAAAAAAACAGCAAAGCACGATCCAATTTGCTCCTGCAGGGAAAAAAAATCCTTCCTGATCCCCCGAGAGGCAATTAGATATTCCCTGGATCAACTTTACCTATAAATGTTATATCCAGTTATATTCTGTGTATCTAGGGAAGGATCCAGGACTTTTTTGAAGCAATCCACTGAGCTGGCCAGAACCAACTCTTGAGGGAGTCTATTCCACATTTTCACAGCTCTCACTGTGAAGAAACCTTTCCGTGTTTGGAGATTACATTTCTTTTCCTCCAGATGTAAAGAGTGCCCCCTTGTCCTCTGTGATGACCTCAGGGTGAATAGCTCTACACCGAGTTCACTATATGTCCCCCTATAAGTAAAAATATCAAACTGTGTTCACGCAACAAAAAGAAAAAAAGAAAAAAATAATATATATATATATATATATATATATGAAAAAATAGCAAGCCAGCTCCTCCTGTGTATCGCTCACAGAAATACATTAAAAAAATAATATGTGGCGCTACTAAAGTAATAAAACAATAAGAACAATCGCTGAAATTATAAATATAAACAAGTCAATTCAAAAATATTAGAATCAACAATATATTATATACTGTGACCAGTCCACAAAATCTTCAGGTAATTGTGTGCTTCCACCTTCCAAATGTGCTCTGCAACAATCCACTCTACCACCCTGTTGCAAGTGCCCGATCATGAGTCTTCTGACCTCGAGAATGACCTTTGAAATATCAAAAGGTCAAAATCAGCCAGATGTAATAAAAAAAAGGAGGAAACACCGCGGCTCCACCCACAATTGGAATATTCAATTTAAACCAACATTTATTGTAAAATAAACATGCCAATTACTATTATTCATTATTATTTATTACTACTACTATATAATTATTAGCTAAAAAAAAGTACATCACATTGGGGGATGCTTGTCCCTTTAATATGCTTGTAGCCTGTAATACCATCTCGCTTTCCTGAGCTGAGCCAGGCCAACGTGATGACATCACCACCTTCACTCCACCCTTACATGTTACGTCCCTGAGCAGGGACTTCATCAGAGGTTCAGAGGGTATAACAGCAAGTGCTTGAACAAGTATCTTCATGGTATCATCGCCAGGATTTTTTGGGGGGAAACTGCAGATTTTAATATTGAAAATGACTTTGAAATGAAAGCTGCCGGTAAATGTTAGTGATTGGGTTTACATCTATTTGAAGTAACTTCCAACAGGTAACATTCACCAGTGCTCATGTAACACTGTGCAGGAACACCATAATCCTTTGAAGCCAGTTTAACCTCCTACTGCGAACAATGGAGGTAGGTCGCTCTACAAATGTCCTGAGTCATGTTTCAAAACTGCTAAGTGAGGGAAGACGAGTGCAGAGCCTGGAATTAGTCCCAATAAAATTATGTTTTAGTCTTCAAACCATTCCAGGCATTTCTACAGTAAAATAACCTGACTTGGGCCATTAGGAGGTCACCGTGTGTGGTTTACCTGCTCTATAAGCGTGAAATCATTGAATACATTAAAGGTTAACAAAGGGCTTTCATTGGTGAGTGCAGGCAGTGCATGAAAAGGGAGCGTTGCCCAAACCGGTCCTCGAGTGTCAATAGCAGGTCAGGTTTTCTAGATGTACTGGATCACATTTCTGCTTTTTTTTTTGCAGTGTTCTTCATCATTACAGCTATCATCCTTCCATGGAATTCTGGAAGCTCAGTTAGGCCGCACGCTGGACATTTTTGCAACTGGTGTATTTTTTCGGCCTCTAAACCCCCCGCACGGTAACCTATGTGTCCATGCACACGTAGACGTTTAACCACCTCCCAACCTCGCTATAGCCAAAAAACGGCTACAGTGCAGTCGGCGAGTTCTGAGTGGGCGTCCATGGACATTTCCTCCCAGAATCACACCGACATGTGCGATCTGTGATTACTGTCTCCTTCGGACACAGGTCCAAGTAAAGGGCCAATCAGAGCCACCCTTTACATGTGAACGACTGTGTCCAATCACAGCTGATCACAATGTAAATAGGAAATGTTGGTTATCGGCAATCCTCTCCTCACACTGACAGCTGCATGAGTGTGGCCTCATCAGTGCGGCCAATAGTGCCCATCAGTGCCCATCTGTGCTGGTTTTCAGTGCCCATCTGTGTTGGCTATCAGTGCCTCCTCGGTGATGCCTGTCAATGCCCATCAGTGATGCCTGTCAGTGCCCACCAGTGCCGCCTATCAGTGCCCATCAGTGCCACATATCAGTTCAGCTTCATCAGTGCCTCCTCATCAGTGCCCATCAGTGCAGCCTATCAGTGCAAATCAGTTCCACCTATCAATGCTCATCAGTGCCGCCAATCAGTGCCCATCAGTGCCGCTTATCAATGCCCATCAGTGCTGCCTATCAGTGCCCATCAGTGTCGCCTATCAGTGTCTATCAATGCTGTATATCACTGTCTCCTCATCAGTGCCCAATAGTGCAACTTATCAGTGCAGCCTATCAGTAAAATCACTTATTTACAAAACATATAACAGAATCACACTGACAGCTGCATGAGTGTGGCCTCATCAGTGCGGCCAATAGTGCCCATCAGTGCCCATCTGTGCTGGTTTTCAGTGCCCATCTGTGTTGGCTATCAGTGCCTCCTCAGTGATGCCTGTCAATGCCCATCAGTGATGCCTGTCAGTGCCCATCAGTGCCGCCTATCAGTGCCACATATCAGTTCAGCTTCATCAGTGCCTCCTCATCAGTGCCCATCAGTGCAGCCTATCAGTGCCCATCAGTGCCACTTATCAATGCTCAGCAGTGCCGCCTATCAGTGCCCATCAGTGCCGCTTATCCATGCCCATCAGTGCTGCCTATCAGTGCCCATCAGTGCTGCCTATCAGTGCCCAGCAGTGTCACCCTATCAGTGTCCATCAATGCTGTATATCACTGCCTCCTCATCAGTGCCCAACAGTGCAACTTATCAGTGCCCATCAGTGCAGCCTATCAGTAAAATCACTTATTTACAAAACATATAACAGAAACTAAGAAAACCTTTTTGGCAAAAAGGAAAAACCCCAGTGCTGCTGAAAATTGGCCTGGGTAGGAGGGGGTAAAAGTTCCCAGTAAGCAAGTGGTTAAAGGCTTTTAGAGGAAGAAAACCCCACTGCCAGTGTGTCCAGGAGCAGCAGAATTTTGGCAGAATGTAAAAGTGCTCTAATGCTGAAAAATGCGGCAAAACACAGCAAACCAGCGTTTTTGGTCTTTTTTTTGGTATAAAAACCTGCTAAAAACTCAAACGCCGAAAAACATGGCTAGACGCTAATGCAAAAACTGTAAAAATACTCTGAAAAACTTGCTTGTTTAACGTGACTTTACACAGCTAATACTACCAACGTTATTAAAACGTCC